ATGAACACAAAATGTCACATTGGGTCCTGCATAGGATCCTAGAATAGAAAAGAGGACAATGAAATTCAAAAAAGGTCCGTAGTTTAGTTCCTAATATTGTACAATGTTAATTTCCTGGTTTGGTAACTGCACTATGATGAGATAAAATGTTAAAGGGCCAGGGAGGTAGCCTATGTGAACAAGTATTATATCTAAATGTCTAAATAGCTCTTCATACTCAAGCAAGGAGGTCATTTAAATGATAAGCATATTTCCTGAATGAATGACAAGAAGTAAACCACCAGCAAGGTAACTAAGTATCCAAGATAGGGGTGTGTGTGCGTGTGTGTGTGTGTGTGTGTGTGTGTGTGTGTGTGTGTGTGTGAGAGAGAGAGAGAGAGAGAGAGAGAGAGGAGAGAAGGTAGTTTTCATTTTCTTTTTTCCATTTCTCCAATCATTTTTCTATGCCATCGTAGGTGTGCAAGGGACCCGAACAGAGGTTTTCAAAGCATCTATTTCTTGGTGCATAGAAGAGTTTCACCAGAAAATACAAGAACAATCCAAGGGTCTCCCTCTGCTTTTAAAATATTAGAAATAACAAATGTCAGTTTAGTAAATTTATCATCTAAATAACATCCCACTAATTTGAGATTTCACAGTGAAATAATCACTCGCCATCCTAAGTCTCAAGAAGGCATGTTCTCATTAGAGGCAGAAAAATGATTAAGAAAACTGTCACAGAGGGTTTTGACAATCATATGAACTAATAAACCACCTTAGACCTTGTGGAGGCGGGCAGTAGAGAATAAAATCATACAAACAGAATCCCCTGTCTGGAAGGCTGCCACTCTATCCCTCTCCATCAGGAGGGAATATGTCCTATTTGGAAGTGGCACCTCTTCCTCGGGGTGGCTGATGGAGCCTGCCTACACTGTGCCATACACACACCGCCCCCCCCCACCCAGGCCTTGCTGCCAAGGAGAACCCCCCTCCAGGGGAAGGTACCAAAACACGTTAATCACCTCGGGCCTAGGACTGTTGATGAGCATTGCTCATGTTTCTTGAAATTGAAAGAAGCAAACTGGTTTGCTAAGAAATTTATCCAGTATTTTATAGATTAATGACAGTCCAAAGGCAATTTAACTTAACCAACAATTATCGACCATCTACTAAGGACTCACTTCTATTTTAGGGCTGTGGAGATGAGATGATAAATGAAAAAAAACTAACCTTCACACAGTTCACTGCCTAGTAAAAGATATAAAGTTGGTAAACAAATAACTATAAAACAATTGAGTAAGGAATGTCTAAAGGGCCAGGTAGTAGCCTACCTCAACAAAGTAAGCTGAGAGTAAGAATAACAGAGTCCCAGAAATGGAATCATGTATATATTTAGGGTAAATGTATATGCTATCCATGTTCTATTTTATACTAAACTTTTTTAAATAACTAAAAAAGAAAACATTTAATAATTACTATTTCTTTCATAATTCATTACTGCTTTTATTTAGAATAAAAAACCTGACATCTTTATTCTATACCAGGATGTCAGCCAGGTCCTGTGTATTTTCACTGTGATATATGGTTTACAGCCTTAAACACTTAAAATAAGGTTGGTAGGTAGTTTTATGCAGATTGATTTTTCAGATTCATATTTCTAAAAATAAGCTTTTCCCAACATGGATAGAATTGTTGTAAATGGTTCTTATAAGTAGGATAATCTCCTCCAAGATCTGTGTGTAATGTTGCCATCATTAGTCTGGCTATCAATGTTGTCATATTTAGTCTTCAATGCCATTTTGTACTACATTTTGAGAAATTCAAATCATAGCACTTTATTTGTGCTATCAAAAATTAATTAAGAAGCAAAATAAGCCAGTTAGAGAAAGTCAAATATTACATGATCTCACTTATATGTTGAATCTAATTAACAAAATAAACTGATGAACATAATAGGGCCAGAGGTATGGATGCATGGAATAGAATAACAGATCTCGGGGTAGGAGTACAGGAAGAGATTAACCAAAGAACATATATGCATAAATGCATAAAACATGGACACAGACAATAGTCTGGGAGAGGCCTGGGAGCAGTGGGGTCTGGGTGGAGGGGAGCAAAAAGGGAGAAAATGGGAGATGTCTGTAGTACTATAACAACAAAACATTTTTAATTAAGAAAGCTAAAGCTCTTTATCTGACCTTCAATTCTGAATGGTAGCTTTGCTGGGTAAAGTAATCTTGGTTGTAGGTTCTTGCTATTCATCACTTTGAATGGTCAGATAAAGAGCTTTGCAGATAAGAAAAAGCTAAAGGAGTTCATCACCACCAAACCAGTATCATATGAAATGCTGAAAGGTATTCTTTAAGAAGAGGAAGAAGAAGAAAAAGGTAAAGATAAAAATTATGAACAACAAACACATATCTATCAACAAGTGAATCTAAAAATCAAGTGAATAAAAAATCTGATGAACAGAATAAACTGGTGAATATAATAGAATCAGGGGCATAGAAAGGGAGTGGCTGGCAATTCTTGGGGGGAAAGGGGTGTGGGGGGTGCAGGAAGAGACTGGAAAAAAATCGTACACCTATGGATGAGGACAGTTGGCGGGGAGGGGTAAGGGCAGAGGGTGGGGTGGGAACCAGGTGGAGGGGAGCTATGGGGGGAGAAAAAAGAGGAACAACTGTAATAATCTGAACAATTAAAGATTTAATTTTTTAAAAAAAACTAAAGCAAATAATTCTGGTTTATTTTCATAAAGTTTGAAATCCAGTATTTAATGAATGGCCTAGTTTCAAAGACTAAATTTCATGCTATCAATTTTATTTCTGGAAACTGACTGCAATATAGGAAAGTTGAGTAAATTATTCTTTAACAACTGAAATTTCCCAAAGACTCTATTTTGTCAGAACTGAGAGTAGCAAATGAGATATTTATGCAAATACTTGTAAATGCACCTATAGAAAAAATTCAAAAGGTGTAGATGAGTTGTAATGTCAGCAAGAAACTTGGAACTTCGAGCCAGTCTTTGGAGATAGGACTGC